ATATATTTAATATATGGGGAAGCATATTCAAATAATATTAAAATTGAGAGCTTTGAAGTTGAATGATAGTTATTTTCTTTCTTATTTCATACCCACTTTTAAGATCACATACAAACAAAATATATAACATACACCATAAAAATTATAAAAAACATAACACATTGAAATAACAAGTGTATATTTCAATTATTAAATAAAATCATATTCAAGGTGGTACACATGAAGTTCTTTTTTAAATTATTGATTTGGCTTGAAGAGGCAATAGAAAGTTGAAAATATGTATTCAATTCCAAAATAAAGCTATAAAGAAAATAAGCTCTGACCTGGATTCATAAAGTTGAGAAGAAAAGATCTATATAAAATTATCTAAATAAAACAAACAAACAACCCACCTATAATTCTATTTATTATCCAAAAGAGTCAAGAAAAATATGGCTTCTGAGAAACATTTGTCTTCATATTTTTTCAAAAAATGCATTTCATTTGCAGAGATGGTAAAAGTTCAGAGTTGGGTTATTTAAACTATCATTTCATTAAGTGATATTGATTGCAGTTAGTTGTTTTGAGATGAAAATAAACAAAAATGTATTAAAGTACTTGAATTTAAGACAGCACTAAACAGGATGTGGATCAAACAACCAGACGTCTACGTGACCATGTCATTGCTCTCAGTTCCAGTAGAATCCAATTTGAAATGCCAAGCTTTTAATAGTACATTTTATATTTACACATTGCTAAGACCACGTGCCTTGTTCTTCCCAGAGTGTCCTCAGGGAAGTGAGGGGGGCAGGAATAGTAGATAAAGCAGGCTAGCTTTAAGACATGTCAGGATTCAAAGAATCTTGCCAGCCCACAGTCTAGCAGTCTAGAAGGGAGCTGCTCAGTCTGCCAACACACCTTCTGGAATTGCCAACACACCTCAAAGATTTTCTACTTTATCTAAGTTTCCAAGAAGACATTCTAAGGTGACTTCACAGACATCATGACTCATCTTTCCTGTTCATACGTTGGCTGCAAAAGAATTGGGAGACTCTCTTCTCTTAAGCTCCATTTACTAGGCTTGGGATGATGTTGATGAAAAGTTGTCTTTAATCATTTCAGCTACTAAACTAGTACCCTCATCACTTAAAAAGGAGACACCTAAAATATTGGTTTTGTACTTGAGATGATGTTATGAAGGGATGAAATCACTATATAGTATCTGACAGCTCTGACAGACATTAATTTAATTTTATAACAGGGCCTAGTCCTCTCTAATCCTGGACTTGGCTGCAAAGAGAATATTCAGAAAATGTTCTTTCTCAGAGGCTATATTTTCAATTGAATAAAACTTGAATATGTTTTAAAAATCTAAACTTTCTATGAAGCCCACATATTTCTTTTTCTTTTTTTCCTCCATGTATTTATAACAACCCTAAATTTCCTACCACCTTGTAACCAATGACTCTATATAAGTAAGTTGAATGTTAACATTAGATTTCTATTTCAAATGAAAGTGTAATATGCTTCTTATTTTACAGAGTTAAAAATATCAGATGTAAATCTTTTAATTACATGTTAAAAAGACATGAAATATATATATATATATATATATATATATATATATATGTTATACTATTTTGAATATATTTGAAAATTTATTTTTTTCTTAATCACTGTTGGTTCTCTCTCTCTCTCTCTCTCTCTCGCTCTCTCTCTCTCTCTCAATTTCTCTCTCTCTCTCTCTCCTCCCATCCCAAAACATTTAATAGTCTATCTTAAAATGTTATATGCATTAGAAATATTAGTAGAAAAACACATGTATAATAAAACAGTCTTTAACAAGGAAGATTTACCTACAGTTATGTGGTTAAGTAAGTTAATTTCAAGTAAATTAATCTCAAATATAGTTAAGTATATTTATTTTAATTGATGGCACTGTACATTGTTGAGACATATGCCTATTAAGAAATAAAATCAAATAACTTGGTTTAAGAAGTTCTAACAGTTGGTTTGATCAAATAATTGAATTGTTACCCTGCTCCTAGGAAATTACCTTCAGGCCACTTCACAAAGGACATTCCCTTTCGCTTAGACCACATTCCACTTGCTAAGACCACATTCCACTTGTAAAGACCATTATCTCTCCCCTCTGGACCTTTCCAGGATCCAGAACTGCACAGGAAATTCTCCACCTAGAAGAAGCCTACCTAGAGTCCTTTAAAAGCTCTGACTCTCCATTTTGGGTGCTGGCACCATTTTGGGGGCTCAGCTCACCTGGTATCCAGATGACCTAATAAATTTATAAGCCCTTACCACTTTGGCCTTCTGTGTTCCCTCTTCGGCGACCCTAACACTAATAATATCTACTCAGTGTAAAAGCATATTTCTGCTTTGAAAAATGTTTAGTAAAAAGCAGCACTGAAACTTATTCTAAATGGATTTACTACTTTTATAAGTTTTTAATTAAACCACATTAAGTTCAATCAGACTCTACAGGACAATAATGTAGTTAAGTTGGTTGGTTTTATAATTCTATCCCCAATTCTCTAGTCCATATTCAATTATAATTACATTGGAGAATTTTAACTCTACAATTTGGATAAAAACCATGCCCATTGATAGATGAATGGATAAAGAATAGATTTGCAGTAGTAAGTACAGGAAAGAGAGTTTATTCACTATTGTAATAATCATAACATTAATGTCTTTGTCCATAGAAATAACAGTAAACCACTTTTGCCCATTTCTGTATATACAATGGAATATTAAGCAACAATAAACAAGAACAGAATGGCCTGGCTGATGTATCTCAGTTGTTGAGAATCAACATATGAACCAGAAGGTCACAATTCAGGGCACATGCCTGGATTGTGGGCTCAATCCCCAGTAAGGGGCATACAGGAGGCAACCAATTAATGATTTTTTCTTATTATGGATGTTTCTATCTCTTCTGCTCCTTTCCTCTCTGAAACCAATAAAAAAACATTTTTTTAAACAAAAGCATAGAATCTTGCCATTTATGACACATTAATAGATTTAGAGGGTATTATGCTAAATAAAATGTCAGGCAGAGGAAGATAAATACTGTATAGTTTCACATATGCGGAATGTAAAACAAAACAAAACAAAAGTAGACTCATAAAAACAGGGATCAAAATCATAGTTACCAGAAGGAAGTGGTTGAGGGAATGGGTGAAAAAGGTGAATGAGAATATAGTTAATATTACTGTGATAAATTTATATAGTGACAAACACAGATGATTACTAGAATAGTGTGTGTGGGGGGTCACATTGTAAGGTGTAAAAATGTCAAATCACTATTGTATATCTAAAACTAATATGACCAATATAAGATTGCATAACAACTATTCTTAAAAAATAAATTTTACAAAGTCAGGTAGTATCAGCATTCACACACACACACACAAAGATGAACAGGATTGACTACAAATCACTTAAGTGTTTTATATTAGTAAAATAAAAAGATAACATTTTAACAATGGAAATACTTTGCTAGTCACAGCTACTAAGTCTGCCTTCCTCAAAGTTATGAACATTAATATAACTCGTAGCAATGCTGCCCTGGCTGATGTAGCTCGGTTGGAGCATTGTCCCTTACACTGAAAGGTGGCTGGTTTGGGTTCGATTCCCAGTCAGGGGACATACAGAGGCAATCAATCAATGTCTGCCCACCCCCCTCTCAGAAATTAAAATTTTTTTTAAAAAATCTATAAAAAAAACCACACTAATGGCAATATTAATAAAAGTTCCCTTTAAATGAAATTTCTTGAAATAATTGAATAATTGCCTATAATTTAAGTTTAAGAGGCAATGATCAACAAAAAAAAAAATAGTTACCATTCTTTTATATATTTTGGCCACCAACACAAATGGAAGTGTACATCACTTCAATACAAACAATATAATATGTACTGCAATGTAAAGTGGTGGATGCTATGGTCTAATTTTTTCCAAGTTTTTCAAGGGGCAATCTCTTTTACTAAATTCAGACATGAACATGGGTTCCACAAGATGGGACTGTGTGAAATTCTTCTACTAAAATTATACTTTAGTGTTAGAAATAACAGATGGATATACATGTGACTTTTCCAAAGTAAAACTGATTGAGTAGCAAATATGTCTGAATTTGCCACCATCTACTCTATTTGAAAAATGGCAAGAAGCCAGGGAATGTCATTGCTTCATAGAAAGACAATACTTTTCCCACCTGCCACCTGCTCACAGGTCCTGGATCCACAATGTCTGGTCTCCCCTGCTCAGCTTCTGCTTCCTAGTGTGGCCCCTTCGGCAGAGCAGGGTATTCCTTCATGCGAATAGGAGGGAGCATGTATAGAATACTTGCTTAGTGTTTAGTTCCCTTTGAAGCCCTATTGGCAGCTCCTGTTAGGATGCTCACTTTTAGAGAGGACAAACCGAAGCTTAGATAAGTTGATTCACTTGCTGTGGAATAAAATACCAAGCGGCAAAGCCAGGACTTGAACCAATGGCCCTCCTGCCTCAGAATGTTATCCTTAACTCACGGACTCCCATGTAATTAGCTATGATTCTCCTTTCTTTTTTTTTTTTTTTTTTTGGTACAGTCTTAAATTATATCAGAAATCCTTTGCAATTTTTTGGGGGTGGGGTTACCTTTTTTTGTAGCTTTGTGGAAACAAAAGCTTAGCTGACTGAACCTTTTATTTGTTTTTTTAATTTTTGTTAATCTTCACCTGAGGGTACTTTTCCATTGATTTTTAGAGAGAGTGGAAGAGAGGGGGAGACACAGACACAGAAAGAGAAACATTCATGTGAGAGACACATCAATTGGCTGACTCCCCCCACCTGCGTACCCTGACCCGATCTCACCTACGTGCATTTAGACAGGAAACTGCAGGCTGACGCTCTACCCCCTGAGCCAAACGGGCCAGGTTTGAACCCTCTAGTTAAAATACCTTCCATGCTAGCTGATTCAATACAACATTGCAAACCACAAGAACACTCAGAGGCAGGACGATGGCATGGCGAGAGTCCAGTATCGCTGGAGAGTAAGCACAATTCCAGGTCCAGTGCTCACTGAACCATTTCCCTGAAGCAAAGGGAGGAGGGGCTCATTGGTCACCCTAACCTCCATTCCTGTCCCCTCTTCCCTCCTTCCCCTCTCCTCACAGGCATACCTCATCAGGAAAGAGCATTCTGAAAAAAAAAAAAAAAAAAAAAAATCTAGAGGAAAAGTAATGCCCTTTTCACCTGTTACACTGAGAGCAGAAGGAACCTTTTTACCTTAACTGCCCGGCTGAACTTGCTTGCGACAGTTCATTCCCCTGCTGGGTCACAGACTCTGATTGCCGGAAAGTCAGCGCTCACTCACCTGTCCTGGAGGTCCGTGCCAGGTGTGGGAGGAGGGGAGCGCAGGCTCACCTGCACACCGCTGGGGCTCTGCTCCCGGGACACACACACACACACACACACACACACACACACACACACACCACTTACACACTCACACACACTCACACAAGGTCATCAAGCCCCAGAATCTTAGTTAATTATTACTTCCTTTCACCACCGCAGGGCAGGGAGATGTCAGAAACCTGAGCCACTCCCTGCGCCTCAGTGCATGTTGGGAGTGTTTACTTTCTTTCTTAGGAGGATCAGCTGATAGACACCCTCCTTTGCTCCTTGTCACACATTTTGAGAAGTGAACTGACATACTGATTAATGCTTTACCCATTGAGTTGGACTGATTCTACTCTATTTTCTAGAGGAATAGTCCATGTAAGAGATGACAGCAACTAAGACTTAATGTTGTTGTTGTTATTATTATTATTATTTTATTAGAGAGAAAGAGAGGAAAAAGGAGGGAGGAGAGAGAGAAAGAGAGGGACAGACAGAAGTATAGATTGGTTGTCTCCCTACACGCTCTTACCCGGAAGCAAACCCCAACCTAGGTGTGTGTCCTGTCTGGGAATCAAACCCAGAAAACCTTTTGGTGTACTGGACATGAGCCACCCAGCCAGGGCCACCTGTGTTTGTGTTTTTATGTTCTTTTTCAATGAGAAATTTCAATGTTTTTTCCTCTCTCTCTCTCTCTCTCTCTCTCCCTCTCTCTCTCTCTCCTCCAACCTCCTTTACCCACTAGTACATTTTCATCCGAAGTAGTGCTTCCCACACATGAGGGTGCACCAATATGACTTGCTAAACCCCAATAGGAACACAGCACCTGTGAAACTGATCTATTAGGTCTGGAGTGGGCTGTAGGCACCTGTATTTCTTTATAAGTGCCTCAGTAGAATCAGGTAGTCATCAAAGTTTGAAACTACTGTAAAAGTATAAAAGAGGAAATGAATAATAACTTAAACCCTACCTATAGAATTGAATTTGGAGAATTTGCTTTTCCTCAGTACTTCCAATTTCAAGAAAGCCACCGAAGTCTAGTTCACTAGACTGATTGTGGTGATCATTTTGAAACATATACAAATATTAAATCATTATGTTGTACACCTGAAATTAATATAATGTTATAATGTCAACTATTCCTCATTTTTTTTTAAAGGCTACCTCTTTGAAACTACCAAAATGCCAAAGCTTTAAAAAAAAAAATTAAATAAGATCAGTCCAAAGAAAGGGGTGAGCACCAAAATTTAGAGACCCTTAGAGGACAGATGCTGTGGGAATAAAAAATGCTTTTACCACACAAGTATTTCCTGGTGTCATCGATGCTTTACCTGTTTCTTATGTAAAACAATTCTGGTAATATTTTAAAAAGCTTTTCAAGTATAATCCTTAGAGCTTTCAAAAGGAATTCAATATTGTTCCTGCAATGAGTTTAGTAAGCAGAGTTGATATCTCATCTCGTGTCCTGAAGGTTCAAGTGCTGAATTCACAGATGGACTGATCGTCACTCAAGATTTTCAGGTCACATGTTTGATTGATCACAGTATTTCAAAAAGCCAGCCAGTTTAGCTAGTTAACTTATGGTCTGTAGAGGTCAGATACAACCAGATTTATCATTCTTTGGATGATTTTACTAGAATCAGGTGAATGGATTTTTTTGGGTCACAGTCAAAACTTGTACCACCTCATTTATGAAGACATGGTATTGCTTGTGAGTATTAGTGTGGTGGCCATGCTGGCACCACAAACCCCGCTGTTATGGACTGACCTTTTAATGATGACTAACAGACCTGCAGTGTCTATACCCATCAAGTCCAGGACTTATTTGTTTAATCCATGCTCCACCCCCAACATCTGCACTCCGTGGGCATCATTCCTTTATGATCAGTATCAGGGCAACTGTTTTTGCATTTTTTATGTGCAAGCATCCTGGAAACCTTTCTTCTGATTACTAATTTGCAACTGGTTTCCACCTGGTAGAGGCTCAGTGACTCCTTTTGTTTTTGAGTACTTACCCTTTTGCATATGCCATGTTTTGTTTTATAATATAAAAATACATAATCACACTTGTGATGTGGAAATTTTGGAAAACACAGACATATAGAAAAAGACATCTTACAATTCCATCTCTCAAATGTAGTTACTATAAACAATTTGGTGAATGTCTTTATTGATATAGTTCCTCTAAGGGTATTTACCAAAATGCTACTACATTTGGCTTATTGTTTAATAGCCTGTTTTTATTACATAAAACATCTTATGAATAATTTGCCATATGTTAGTCAGTGTTTTTCCCCCCCACTGCAATGTGATTTTAACTAGTTACACTATATTATACCATTGGATATACATTATCTATTTAATCAGTTCCCTATTGTGGAAATTTATGTTTCTATAAACAACACTGTAGTAAATGTTTATATTCTACTTCACACACCCATGATAAGGCCTGTTATAGCTACATTTCAGAAATTAAAGTTGCCCAGTGAAAAGGAAGGACCTTTAAAGAAGATTTCTCTCTTTTTTTTTAAAGTGTCAATTTTATACTCTGAGGGTAACTCTTGAATTATTATTTGTTTAAATATTTATCAATTTGAAAGCTTAAAATTCTATTGTATTTTAAATATGTATATTATTGATTACCTGTAAGATTGAACTCTTTCTTTAAACTTTTCCTATATTTTTGTTTTCTTGTTTATTATATTCATTATCCATCTTTTCTGTATTGATTTATAAGATCTCTTTAGATATTAAACACATCAACTCTTTGTCATATATGCTGTGATTATATTTTCTAATATTGTCTGTTAGTTTTGTTGGTATATATTTTGATTACAAATTTTAAAAATTTAAATAATTCATTAATATTTTTATTGTATTTTTTGAAATACAATATATATTTTATTTGAAATATCAATAATATATTTTAATGTTCAAAAAGCTTTCCCATTCTTAATGCACATATATATCTATACATATGCATATACATTTTTTTTCTTCTGATTTACTTATTTAACTATTATTTATGTATTAAATTCAACATTTCAACCTATCTGGAATTTATGTTGTTAAAAACTGGGATATTTAAATCTAACTTAATTTTTCTAAATAATTAGTCTATTAAGTGAGCAGCATTTTAAAAATAATTATAGATCATAAACTTCACAAGGCAAATACTAATACTGTGCTCTTGTCTATTTTATTGCCACAGCTCAGTACAATAATTGGCAAGCCCATGGGTGCTCAGACCAAATACTGAATAGTCACTCTTGATTCCTTTTGCTTCCTCCCTCCACTCCAATTTGCAAAACATAGTGCAAATTCTGATGTTTTGTCTTAGTCTCTGCATCTCCACTACCACCTAGATTAGTAAGCATCATTTCTTGCTCAGATATTACACATGGTCTCCTAATGGGTCTCTGCCTCCACTCATGTCCCGCTACAGTCCGTTCTGTTCTTCACCTTTAGCCAGTGTAAACTCTACAAACAAAAATCAGGTCATAATACCATCTCTGATTTTCTTTGCTGAAAACCTGAGTGCTGGTTGGCCACATCCTCACCCCCAATTGCATCGGGGATAAAAATCTAAATCTGAGCTTCTTGTCCTTGCCTATCTCTTTGACCTATACTTGCTGCCCTGCATTGAATTTTATTCCAGGAACAGACCAAGCTGTTTGCTGCTTCACTTGGTGTTGCCTCTGCTAAGAAAGCTCTGCTCTTGTCACAGCTGATTTCTTTACATTTTTCTGCATTCTTGTGTGTGTGTGTGTGTGTGTGTGTGTGTGTGTGTGTTTTCCCAGATATTATCTCCTCAGAGATAATCATTCCATGACTGATCCAAATAAAGTCTCCAGTCTTTATCACAGCCTCCTATTTTATTGTACTAATGATAATTATCACTACCTGAATTTATTTTACTGTTTTGTTTATTCTTCAATGTATATTTGTTATTTTGGATCATCTGTTTATTAGGATGATCCTCTCATGAAATCATAACAGAAGAAGGACCTTCAGTTCTCTGTTCTCTGCTCTGTTCTCAGTGCCTAGAACAATGCTAAGCCATGTAAAAGGCTCAAGAAACATGACTATGAACAAATAATGGTGCCTTAATAAATGTGGGTTGAGTAAGTAAATACAGATCATATTTTTTCCTGGTTTAAAAGAATACTTTTATTAAATACTACTGTACATACAACCTTTCCTTGAATTTTCCATCCTTGTAATGCCTTACATAGCTGCTCACTATAGAATAATGAGGATTTAGTATTTTTAAGTCATGATTGTCATTAGCAATTTCTCACAGGCCAGCAATAATCGATGACTTCATGTCTGAGGGAGAAAGGCTCCTAAAAATAGATATTTTTCTTATTTTATTATCTCTTTTAGGGCATGGAACTTAGTGCTGGATTGACTGCCAGTAATGACTCTGATTTGCTCATGCCTCCACATATCTCTTGGAAGGACTTTCCTACACTGGTTTGGGCTTGGCCATGTGACTTGTTTTGGTCAATGAATCAATATCAAATTATATAAGCAAAGGCTTGGAAATCAGCTGTATACTAGGACTTACCCTCTGTTGCTCTCAGAGTCCTGAACCACTGTACTGACAAGCCTGAGCTAGCTTGTGGGATGATGGATGATGAGACCTTGG